ATTGGAAGGACATTGTTCAAAGGCAAGCCCTTAAACTCCCCTAATTTAAAGCTCTTATAGCAGGGGCGGGCCAAATCCGGCCCACCAGCTATTCTGTCTGACGTGCGGGGCCCCTAAAAAATTTAGGAAATTAATATTTATCTGTTCCTGGCTGCCTGTCAAAGATGACAGAAGCCAGGGCCAGTAAGACCCAGAGAAAGCCTGCAGGACCCAGCAGCCAGGTCTTCCTGACCCTGTTCCCCAGCCTTCCTCCCCCGCCAGGAAGTTTCTGCCTAGCAGAGCCTTCTGGCCTGGGCCCCTGGGACTGTTCTTGACTCCTTCATCGGAGGGAAATTCAAGTAAGAGTTGGTGGGTGGGGAGGCTGCAGGGATTGCCCCAGTTCTCAGGGTTGGTCATCTGCTGCTGAGTCCTGCAGTCCTCCCATTCAGCCGGGAGCTGTGTGATGCTGGACCAGTTGGCGGACGGGCAGGGAAGCGTTGAAGGGAATGGGGTGACACCGAGTGGGTGCATGGAGTACAGCAACAGCTGGGTGGAAGTACAGGGTCTGCTCCAGTGTCCCAGGGCCACTGCTGGCAGGGCCCAGAGTGGGGCAGCAGGAGCATGGGCCCACGCTGGCAGGGGCTCTCTGGAGCTGGGTTGGGCTGCACCAGCAGGTAGAGGGGGGAGCCAGCCTGGCTCCATAGAGCCCCTGCCAGCCTGGCCCCGTGCTCCTGCTCCTCGGCGCTGCTGGCTTTGGCCCCGGGACACTGGTGTGGCCCTGCGCTCCTGCCAAGCTGTTGCTGTACTCTGTGCCTGTTCACTGCCATCCCCCACCCCTTCTGCCACTTTTACAGCTTCCCTGCCCTCGCTAGCCACTCCTGCACCATGTGGTTCCCAGCTGCATGGTGGGACTGTGGGAACACGGGTCCACGCCAGTACCCTGGGGCCAGGAGCAGGAGTGTGTGCATGTGTGTGTGTGCGCATGCGTGTGTATGTGTTCCTGTTCGTTTGTAGGGCTAGTCCCACACCCCACCATATACATGCACCCCCCCTTGCACTGCCATACATGCAGACCCCCACATCCCCTCACACACCCCAGCCACCCTCCACCCACACCCCACATATCCACATACATACACACACCCACATGCTCCATCACCCTCATCCCCCACACCTATCCTCCCCCCACACCCCACACACCCACAACCCCCCACAAACCTATACATACCCCTCCATACGCCCCCACAACATACAATAGAAAGACTTCATTTTAAGCTATTGTGCAATCACCTCTGTATACACTACACAAATGTACATAAATTAGGACAAAAATATTTTTTGAAATCAAATCAATCAATATTGTAGACATTCAATTTTTAGAATATTATTTGGTATTTTTTTGGTTCTGAGATAGCACAGCCCCTTGCCGAAAGGAGTATTTCTGGGGGCAAGGGGAAGGATTTATGGTGGCAAAGGTTGGGGGTTAGAGGGTGGGACTTCTGGTTACAAGATGGCGACCAGGGGGCGGGGCAACTGTCAAGGGGCGGGGCTACCATGTGGCCCTTGAAAGTTTGCCAAAATTTGGTAAGCAGCCCCCCACCAGAAATAATTGCCCACCCCTGTCTTATAGTCTGATGGAGATTACCTTTGAACACACACAACAATACTACATAAAGCTTGTCAGGAATTTTTTTATCAAAGAGTTTTACAATGGGAAATTCAGTTTCTGCAAAATGGAAATTTAGAATGTTAAAAATCTGTTTTTTGCTTCAAGTTTTGTATGTCTGTTGGGAAAATCATAACAAAAACTTTCACTTTCAGGTTAGTTTGACCTGAATGGAAATATTTTGGTTTATTGAACTGAACCAGGAGCAGCCAGCTCCATGTTGGGAGCCAGGATAGGAAGCAGAGAGCTTCCCAGGCCCGGTGACTGGTGTAGATGGTGACCAGGAGCAAATTGCTCCCAGTCAACCTAGGCAGTGTGGAGCGATAAGGGACAGCGAACTCTGTCCCCTGTTCTGGTGCTGATCAGCTCCCTGGCTCCCCCCAGGATCAGCACCAGAACAACGAACCGGGGGGGGGGGGAGATGGATCCTGCTGCTTTGTGCACCCCAGGAGGACATGGGAGGTGGGGGGATGGACATGTGCTCCCGGATCTGCATGGGGCGGGCTGCCACTGCAGGCGGGAGGCTGGTTTGGGTTGTGCTCTGGGCAGGGGG